ATGTTCTTAATTACGAGAGTCTCTTAGTCTAGAAAATTATCAGTCATATTTTTTAGCATTAACATTCAAAACTATTTCACAAATATGGTATTTAAAAAGCTAAAATAATTTCGAAGATAAACTCATTTTAATGAAATATTGGCCTACAGTGTTGGATTATTTGTAGGTTTTTTCAATTTTAAGTACTAATTTTAAGTAAGTTCTATATAATTTTCAAAGGATTACCCTATTATTATGATATCATAATAGCTAGATATTGTCTTATAGTATGTTTTGTACAAATTAATTGATACATTCTACAAAATAATTTTCCAGCAGTCCTCATAGTGAATATGGAAGGCTAGTTAGGTATTTACTGATTCAATAATTCCGCTTAACATGAATTCTATGGCATCGTAAACCTTTCTATAACTATTTGTAGATATATATTGCGGATTATAAAAATTCCCAACTTCTTCGAAGAATGGTTGTTAATGAGAACTATCGCTTGGTATTATAATGACTGAACTAATATGTACATAATATTAGCATGCCGATGGCTATAACAATCTAATCCAACGTATATGCGCGCAAACTAAAATAGTTAGTAATCAGAATTTTTCACTTGAATTATTAAAATCTAATCTCACCTATATACGAGTATACTAAAACACTTAGTTCCTAATAAAAAATTTTCTCTTAAAATATTCTATTTTTAGTTCATATCAACATTTATACATATATCAGTTAGACATCAAACTATTATTATTCATAAATAGGTAGTAACGTTTAAATTTTTTTTTACATAAAGTATAGGACACAAATGCACCTTGGTATGTAATGAATGCACAGGTGCATAAACAACTACGTGTTCCGACAATCAAGGAAGAAATATTTCGAATTACAAAGAATTACGCTTATCGTATATATATGCATCCAAACCCGCTAGTTACACACCTCATGTCCCCCTTCAACACTTTTGCAAAGCTAAAAAGAAAAATAAAAAATATCTATTTTAATTATATATGGATATGTCACTGGATATAGTCCATACGTGCCTTTCTTTTTAGATCGTAATAACTTTTATTACGATTCATGTTAATTTGTATTACTTATTGTCATTCATACCTGACAAATTGTAATAAAATAAATGGGTTAAAAACAAAAAAAAAAATATTACAGCACCCAGTGTCTCCCAGTGTTTTTATCACCAAGAAAGCTAAACGTGGATTTCTGTAACAAACAACTCGATGAACTGTGATTGCTATCCCAAAAAAAATGCTTACTGTATCTTTCTATAGTTTTTGTTAAGACATTAAAATTTAAAATCAAAACAGTAAATTAATTTATTCTATTGTATTAAAATACAATTCTACCACTTGCATTTAATATATATTTAGTTGATTTTTAAGTAAAACTACTACAACGCTATATGGAACTCTATACCTTGAACCAGTGAAGCGTAAGTTTCATACAAAACCCTTTCGAAACAAGGATATTTCAATACATAATTCACTGTATGCTCGTATGATTGAAGTTCATAATCGTTCCCAACTAGAAATACCAAAACTAATCACATTTCAATTGTTGAATGAAATGTATTGAATCATATAGCTTTGCACTTCATCTCCGCTTACCTGAGCTTATCACCTTCAGTTCACTTAATCTCGCTTATCAATGCGCGAGCTACAAGTGAATTTACTGGTAATATTAAGTTCATCCAATATACGTAGGTATCCTGTCAAGCAGCCATAAGCACACATTGCAAACTGATGCCATTGAAGCACATGAAATTCCTATCGTAATCCATACGAACAATAAAATTTTGAAACCAGCCAAAAGAAACTACATGCGAGCACACTCCAACAATAACAATCAGATATTTTGTATATTCCAGGGCAAGGATAACATTGTCAAACACCAAATGTACTCACCGAGTCCACACGCCATACCGATACACTTGATAATGCGAATCAACAGCAAAATTTTGTCAATTTACGTATGTCTGAAGTCTTGTAGATTTACACATATGTGGGAGGTTAATATACACCATACACCATACACCATACGCCCTACACCGTACACCGTGTCTCTGATATTGAATATTCTCAGTCTCAGCAGTCAATGTGTGTCTGTGCCCTCTGCTGTGTCATGTGTATGGTAGGTAACATGTATTGGTATTAGAGTAGTTGTCACATACAGATGATATCTTCAAAATAAACATCAAAACCAACACCGGTTCCTACAACAACATCACCAGTTACCACTACAACAACAACAACAGCAACAGCGAGAGCACAGTACAGTGGCATTAATAGGAACAAAAAAAAGTTTTATCAGCGAAACGTGCAAAATTTTGACAAGGGTTTCAAAGGCATTTGTTGGGTTTTGTTTGGCTTCTGTTTGGGTTGAAGCTGTTGCTTTTGTTGTTGTTGTTATTATTATTGTTATGTAGTGTGAATTGAAAACCACAAGAACATCACTGATGGCAGATAAATTAAATTTTGCGGTAGAAAATGGGCAATCAATGGACCGAATGTGGAATAAGATTAAAAATATACTTCTGTGATAGTATTCATTTCATGTTATAATACGAATACAAACACAAATACAAGGAGTGGAAAGGGTAGACGAACTTAAATAAAAAAAGATACAAATTCATTTTCACATGCTTCCGCATTGCTAATAAAAAGCACCCCACATACTCGTATTAGATACTTTTTCAGGTATGTCATATTGAATTAAATAATGTTAAAATTATTTCTGAAGGTCTACTAAGTTTAAAATTTCTAATAAACTGATAAAGTCAATTTGAACTGATAGTTGTGACCGAAAGGTGTGACAAAATGAATTATGAATTAGTTTTAAAAATAACTTTAATGCTTTTTAATACTTTTTCAACTAATTATTAGAATTATTTTCTTGAAAAAATAAAAATGACAATCTCATATTGTCATTCATAAGGCATTATTCAATCAAAACTGAAAAAATCTGTTTTAAAATAGGAATAGTTGATGAGGCTATAACTAAGCGAGCTTTATCAGGGTTTAACATTTACTCCGATTATACCCCGTTTGTCACTTACCCCGAAAAAACTCAGTTGGTTAAACACCTAAGAGTTTAGAATATATACTCTAATTATATCGAATGTAAATAACAAGTGTTTTTTATTCAGTAATTTAGGACTTAAGAGACTATCTTATCGTAGAAGAAAACTAATTTCTTTTCAATGACAAAATGCAAGATCTGTAAGTTTAACTTCTAGACTCCTATAAGACTTTATGGGGAAGTTCTTTACAGACATTGATCTAAGACATATTTAATTTTTTAAATTTAGTAATAAACTGCTCTTGTATTATTTATTGAGTGTATCAAAACATTTTAAAAACATTAAGTTGTGTACAATTTTTAAAAAAAACGTCCAAATATATAAAAACTAATGTTTTTAATAATCTGTATCTCTGAAACCTTTCAAGATAGTTTGAAACTATTAGATTTCCATATTCATATGTTTTCCTTTAAGGTGCTGAAAATGATATAACCAATCTAATTAGATAAAAAAAGTTCTCTCCTTAGACAACTGGGCGCCACCCTAATGACTTGTATTTTTATGACTCTATTCTATTTATTCCAATTTAGGTTAGTATACTCTTATGACTCGTATTTTTATGACTATATTCTATTTATTCAACTTTAGGCTAGTATACTCTTCCGCAGTTGAAATTTAGAGATACATTCGGTTTTTTAAGATTTTTTAAAGGAAAGTGGAAAAAATTAATATAAATAATTTATGTGAAGGGAGATAAATATAATTAAATATTTTTTTATTTAATAAATGAAATGAAACCAGCAGTAAAGAATTATGGTTATCAGTTGTCCTTCACAAATGTATCTTGCAAACGTCATATAACCTGGGAGTTCAATTTTCCACAACTTTTTAATGGCTGGAACTCATGGTTGAGGCAATTTATCTTAACTATCAGGACTGGACTCATTGTTATATTATAGGAATGCGTTAATAACTTTTATTACGTCTACAAGATATGCCAGACTGGTGTTGAATTACTGGATCTGGGAAGTTTAATTACAGCCTCATTAGCGGTCACAATGTAATCATCGTGTACCTGTATATGTTAATAAAGTAAATAGCAAACTAAAAATATTCTAGTATAGCTCGATCTCACGATTTAATATACTTTGTATTTATATGTATGATTATCTATATATATATGATTATCTATATGTGCTTGTAATGTACAGCTAACAGTACTAATCGAATTTGAACTCTCAAGGCATTTTTTGTGATTCTTGACAGATACGGCTTGAAATTAAAAAAAGTGGATGATCTATAATGTAGCTCCCTATTTAACAGCATTGAATTTAATTTCCAAAAATATATAAAAAAAAGTATATGAAAAAGTAAACAATTAATTTGTAACACAACACCTTTCTGAAGGCTACTGCGGTCTCCGCTTGTCCAAAATTAAATTTTTTGGGCTACTTCTCCTTTATCAAAATAACAAATTATGCTTAATATATTCTACGATGATAAATATACACTTTTGGAGTAGTTGACAGAGCGGTGTGCATATTTTAAGTACATTTTATTAAATATATACAAACGTAATCAATTTTACTTCTCAGGATTACATTTACATATGTAAACACATTTTCGAAAAGGCCACACCATGTCACTGATGTTCAGATGACACCTTTTGTACTCAGGCAACGTAAATCAAATTTGCTTAAAAAATGCAGTTCACCCTCATATGTAGACATGTGCTGTTGACAGAATGGATTGAAATGAAGCTCTTCAATTTTTATTAAATTTTGATATTTATTTAGGATTCGATACTACGTCTATTATAACCAAAATCTGAATCTGAGCAAAACGCATTCACGTAACACAAGCTCAGTTTTATGTGTATAATCCATTCGATATATTCTGTGGTTTTATTTAAATATTTATTCAAAAGAAAAATTAAATTAATTACAGAGAGTCCTTTGAGGTTATTTTTGAATTATATTTTCCGCTTTGCAAAAGGACCTATATTAGCTGCATGTGCCATAAGAGCAGGTATTTGCGTCTGTTCATAGTTGCCTGTAAAGTAGTGTTCATATGGACCCGAAGCAAACACACCAACGTCATCACCGCCATGCGTTTCCGAGGACAATGGTACAGTGGCCATATATTTATATTTTGGATCAGTAAAATCAGCATAACGTAAATTTCGTCTGCCAGTTTTTGACGAATAAGTTTTTGAGTAACCAGGTCCATTTGCATAAGACAATATCGTGTAAGGTAGGCCGTCTGCAGCGTTATTGGGAGCAAGCCCAAATATGTTTTGTTTGCGGTACTGTAAAATATGATTTGTTATAATTTATTTCAATAACAATAATTATTATAATTAATATATATTAATTTAAAATATTTATACAAACCGGAAAGCCATTAATAGTCATTGTGTGCGAATGATCAGAAGTAACAACGATTAAGGTATCGCTTATACTTGTCATATTTCTGGCCAACTGTACCGCTCGTGCAAATTCGGCAGTGTCCTCAAGAGATTTTTGTGCTCTGGTATCGTGATGAGCCATATCTATTTTAGCACCTTCCACAAATAGAAAAAATCCTTTTTTATTTCTGCGTAACAATTTTATAGCTACTTCTGTCATTTCAGTGAGTGACGGAATGCGTTCTTCCAAATTATTGCGTTTCAAATCACCATGATAAGGACAATGTGACGAACTAAATAAACCAAGTAGATAATCTGTTTTAGAATTTTTACTAGCATCGGTTAGATTACTTTTTGACCAAACATAATGTGCATTATACTTTCGGCGTCTTTTATTTTCTAACCATTCCAAAGCAAGATCTCTTCCATCGGTACGCCGTCCTGGTTCGCCTGACTCATCAAATTTAGTCTCATTAAGAAAATTACGTCTACCACCACCTAAAATAACTCTCATTTTTCGTCCAACGGGCCACTCTAGAAGTTGCCGTGCAATATCTGTATTAACTTCATTATTACAGCCATTAGCCCTCACAGCAGCGTCGTTTTCCCAATCTCGATTAGCTGTGTGCGCATATAGACCAGCAGGAGAGGCATGTGTTACTCTTGCTGTTGTCACTAAGCCTGTCCATTTTTCAGCATCTTGTGCCCATTTAGCAATGCTTTCGGTATGTGTACTTGTATCATTGGCTTGGAAACAGTTCCGCCGTTGCACTTGCGCAGTTACACCTATTGTTCCGTAGTTGCCCTTGACACCAGTCAGGTAAGCAGTTGCAGTCGAAGCGGAGTCTGGCACTCTTTTATCAATAGAATAAGTTTTCGAAAGTCCAATGTAGGGAAACGTTTCGAAGTATACTTGTTGTGAACTATCACCCAAAAAATTTCTCGTTGCTGTCACCGTGTGTATCGACATACCATCACCCAGAAAAAGAATAACATTTTTTGCTTTTCTTTTACTCTCTTTTGAAGTTAATTTTAATTTATCCTTTAATATGTTCTCTGCCTTCTTATTCCAATATTCGCTACTTAACTCTTCTTTGTAAGGTTTATAGTCTGGTGAGATAGGACGTCGGGGATGTTCTAAAGTCGTACAATTTGTAAGAAAATAAAATATGCTTTAATATTAGATAATTATAATATATATAATTTATATATATTATATAAAATTATAAATAATGATTATATAATTATATATTTTAAAATATTATAGTGGAAGAAAATAATACTGAAATTATTTATTGTTAAGATTTTTAGTTATGTTATCAGTAAAGTATTCAGAATTATTACTATATGTTATGCTCCACTAAATATGAACACATGATATTAACAGTTGTTTTATATGATTTGACAGATAAAATGCGATTTGATTCGATATACATATATATATATATATATATATATATATATATATAATATATATTTGAAAATATAAATGTCTACTAACACATTCGGTTGGGCAACAAAACTCGACTGATCGAGAGTAAATCTAGATTGAATTTAAATTTATCAATCGAAAACGTCATAATATCATCGATGAATGGTTGACTCATATAACCGTTATATTATTTTCTTTTTTGTAAAATTTAATTTGAAGATACATTATTTTGACAGTGTCTTAGAGTTTTTATTTCAAGATCTAAAAACCAGTGACAATGAGTCATTATGAAGTATAGTTTGTTTACTATGGACTTTGTAGAAAGATGGCGTGGAGAAAGAACACTACTTGCAGGATATATGGGTCACTTTACAGTCGATAATATTGTAGAAAAAATGATAGAACGAGCAGAAAATTGGAACAAAATCACGCAATTCATCGGAAATGTTCTAAGGGAAAAGAAGAAAAGATCTGGACGCAATCTAATCTTAAACGAAGAGCAAGAATGAGAGCCGGAATACATACTCTGAGATTGGAAAAAGTAGACTGCAGCGCAAGATTAATTATCTGCAACAGTAGCGGAGCCTGGATGCAGGGCACACCGATGGAAGTCTTAAATGACTAATAGGGACCCTACCTCGAAGTAATACTAACGTAGTCCCGGGGTAGAACAAGGTCTCTAGGAATGAGCGGGAGTGGTTTAGCCCGTGCGAGTCGGGCACTCACCGGAAGGTGGTCAGTGCGTAGGCATTCCACTCCTCCTTGCCGCAAAAAAAAAACTATGGACTTTGTTTGTGGAAATAGTTTGTGTATATAGAATATTGATCTATATCTAAGTTCCAATAGTTTTTCAACAAATTTAAATCGCACATAAAATATTTATGTTTTGTTGCAAATAAACTTGAAATAAAACTTTTTAATGATTGATTTAGTTTAAATAAATAAGATGCAAAATATATTGCTATATAAAACATAAACAAAAATTTATATACTTTTATATAACCTTAGGTATGAGTTCACATTTATATATTAATCACTTAATCACTCTTAATTCTTATAAGAAGTTAACACTAATAATTTTTAAAAGTTTACTAATCGAATTCTTGGAATTTTTAAAAAGTCCCCATTTATTTTTCAGAAACTCTGGTGATTCCCGACAGAAGCAGTAATCTTCTCTATGCTGTAATTATAAAATATTCATTTGAAGGTTTTCTTCAATTTTTCTTAAGATTTGTTATATATCTTTTCCAAATTCGTTTGTATAGTCCTGGATTTGTTCAAATCCCCATCAACTCCAATTTTTATTTGACTTGCCTCTTTCCGCTATCACAAAAGTTTGTAGCACCAAAAATGTTATCACAAATACTTTCATCCACATTTTTACTTTCGCGTTTTGACGGTTCAACTGAGAAAACCGAAGTGGAGCGATTAACGCAACCTCTTCAACTATTTAAGTTAAAATCTTCAACTGAAAGTAAAAGTATAACTAACTCCAAACGCAATAATTCAAACTAATTGGTAAACAAGTAATTAAATAATAAAAAAGTAAATAATTAAAACTAAGAAATAATATACAAACAAGATTATGATAAGTTATCCATTGGATGAAACTACCAAGTGATAATAAGGAAAAAAATTTTGAAGTGGTAAGTAACAACGCTCAAATGAACATTAATCTTATCAGCGTAAAAATTTTAATTAAAAAAAAATTATTTTAAAAATTATATTAGATTGCCTTGCAATGGAAACAGTTAAGACTACGTTTTGTTTTTGTCAATTTCCGGAGGAACCGTTGAATCAGCGAATTTCACATATAAAGTGGTCAGTAATCGGTCGGCTGCTTAGTGTTTGGGTGCCTCTTGACAGTGAAGTAGCGTAACGGGATGTGGAGTACAAAATTGTTTCTAATTTTTCTATTGCAATATTGTGTTGGTTTACCAACAAAAACTACAACAACCACATGTAAACTTAATAATGAAGATGACTGCTTGGATGCTGTAATGCATCCAGATTTAAGTCCAACGCCAAATTTAAAAGCAGCACAGAACGGTGAGGATACGCAGGAATATTGGCTAGAAAAAAGCAGAGATTTTATTAGGCAACAAGCAAATCAAAGACCCAACAGGAACATTGCTAAAAACGTTATACTCTTCATTGGTGACGGCATGGGCTTAGCTACCTTGGCAGCAGCTCGGAATTTAATTGGCGGAGAGGAAGCTTTCCTGTCCTTTGAAAAGTTTCCGTACATTGGGCTGTCGAAAACTTATGCGGTTGACTTGACTGTTGCTGACTCGGCCTGCACTGCCACAGCTTATCTGTGTGGTGTAAAAGGAAATGAAGCAACCATCGGCATAAACGGAAACGTTGTGCAAGGCGATTGCGAAGGCATGCGAAACACCTCACACCATGTGACATCAATAGCGAAATGGGCAATGGACGCAAACAAGGCGGCTGGTTTCGTTACAACGACTAGAGTAACACATGCTTCGCCGGCTGGTGTTTACGCGAACATTGCACATCGAGAGTGGGAAAATGATGCAGAACTGAAGGAGGATTGCGGTGAAGACACTGATTTGGCTGACATAGCATTGCAACTAATACATAACGGAGTGGGCAGCAAATTGAAAGTTGCAATGGGTGGCGGAAGAGCACAGTTTATTGGAGCTAATTCTATTACGCCTGGAAAACGCTTGGATGGTAGAAATCTGATTAATGAATATTTGAGTGGTAGTGCGGGTAATGCTTATGTTACAACTAAGCAAGAACTTGATAACTTAGATTTGGACAAAACTGAGCGTTTATTGGGTTTATTTCAAGACAGTCATATGGACTATCATTTAGATGCGGTCGCGAATGAACAAAATACGCAACCAACTTTGGCAGAGATGACACAAAAAGCCATTGAATTTATGCAGAAGGAAGAAAATGGTTTCTTTTTGTTTGTTGAAGGCGGTAAAATCGATATTGCACATCACAATGTCTTGGCCAAAATTGCTTTGGATGAAACTGTAGAGTTTGCAAAAGCCATCGAATTGGCCAGGAATATAACAAGTGAGGATGATACATTAATTGTAGTCAGTGCAGATCACTCGCATTCATTCAGTTTAGCAGGTTACCAGGTAAAAATTAAACATCCCAACAAATTTAATATATTATTAAATGAATATATACATTAATATATTAACAATTAAATAAATTTTTTTTTTGCAGAATCGTGGTAGTGATATTTTTGGTTTAGCTAATGGCATAGCAGAAGACAATAAACGTTACTTAGCGTTGAGCTACGCCAATGGTCCCAGTTTTGACACTTATTTCGACACAAAAGCAAGTGAACGACGTAGACCAGAAGATATAATACAGAACAGTGCACACGATGTGTTTCCAGCTACAGCACCTTTCGAATCCGAAACACATGGCGGAGAGGACGTACCAGTTTATGCTTCAGGTCCTTGGTCACATTTATTCACTGGGGTCTATGAACAAAATGCTATACCACACATGATGGCGTATGCTTCTTGTATTGGCGAGGGTTTAAAAGCATGCGAAACGTGAACTTGTGATATATTATTATTTTTAATACATTTTAACTAATAGGCATAAATACCATATATATCATCTTTCATAATTTTAAGTTGATGTAAATCATACACAATATATGTCTGAATTTGAATTAAAATATATTATTTGATAATTAAATCGAAAAAGTTGAACGATTGATTACAAATAATAGCTTCGATTTCCTTTCTGATATATAAAAAATAAATCAAAGTTTTATGTGGATTGATAATTATATGAAAATACTCAAAATTAATTTATTAGTCTGTACTTCAGAGTACGTCAAAGTTCGGTTGTTGTTACGCTGCATTAACTATCATATAATTTATTGTCTTTGATAAAAGTTATGTGAAAATATAAGAAATTTTAATCGCATATTTATAAATATACTTTATATAAATAAAATTAGCAAGCTTCTTAGAATTTTTTATCAGCCCCTAGCCGAGCCTCTCCACAATCAAAAAGCTATAAAATCTTCAATGAAAATGAGTCACCCTAATCGCGAACCTTTAATTGCTTGTTAAACGGCGTTAATATTTATGTTTTAAATTAAAAGATTAAAATAAATATTAAATAGAATTTTATTGTTTATTTTCTGTATTGGATTTTAAAGTCTTTTTAATTATTTTTCACATTTACTGACTGGAGTTTGGCGTACCTTTTACGAAGTTCTTCAAGCGCTCGCTCGAGCTCTTCCATGCTGTCTTCAGTTTGTTGCGTATTAAACTGGGTATTTTCCTGATACTGAAAAGTATCATTCTTTGCTTCTTCATTTACTTTCGAAGTGGTCTTATGTTCTTCAGGAGTTATAGTAGACACTGGTACGGAAGTTGATTGCTTTTGTTTCGCTTCACCAAGTAAGAGGTCACGTTGCCATTGATTGAAATCGGTGGTACCAGCCGTATCTAAAATGGGTGTTGTGCGTAGAGTTGGCAAACGTTCTGTTGTTGAACGTTCTGAGACAGGATTAAAACCACGCAAACTATTCACTGGTATAAATTCACCATTGGGACCGATTAGAAGTAATGTATTTGGAGGAAAATTTGTAGAGGGATTTGTTATTGGCATTAGAATAATATTTGGGTCATTGCTACGATTTATAAAAACTCTTCTCGAACCTCCACCGCCTCCACCACCACCACCACCTCCTCCAACACCGATAATATTTCCATTGGCATCAACTATTGTACCGCCGCCACCACCTCCACCACCACCGCCTCCACCACCACCTGTATTTATCACTGTACCTGGTATACCGGGTACACCCTGCGGACCTGGTGGACCTAAAATTGTTTTTTTAATTTACATAACATAAAATATATTATTTTTCTCCATAAAATACCTGGCAAGCCTGGTAATCCTGGTGGTCCAGGTAGGCCACGTGCAAATGGTGATATTTGACCCGGCCAACCACCAGGTAAGCCTGGTGGTCCTGGTTCCTGTAAATAAACGTATTAAAATGAAGAAGTTTAGTTACTTGTTTTTAAGTTGAATCTTACACCATCTCTGCCCGGGTAGCCCATTGGTCCTGGATCACCTTTGGGACCAATTGGTCCAGGCTCACAAGCACAATTAACTAACGAAGCTCTTGCATATGAGCATAAACCTAGAATAGTATTTATTTATTAATTTTTCAATTATCCATTTTACGAAAGTCCTTACCCAGTATTGTAGCTAAAAGGCACAACCGTTTCATATTTAATAAAAAAAACTTGAGTAAATTTTATTCGTAGTTTTTCACAGAACACTTTCTGTTAACTTAAAGAACTGCTCTGAATTTCACTGCGTTACCGCTTTTATAACAGATTTTCGAGATTCTTATTCTTTTAGAGACGAGAATCTAAACTACTTTTCACCGTTTAATCACACCAATAAAAAGCAAATCACACTACTCATTCAAAGAGTATAATAAGATGCCCGTTACATTTTACAACTCTGCTTCTTCATTGATCCAGAATTTTTGAACTTAGATGCATGTCAAATTCCCATGCACTTTTATTCACTAAAAGAAAAAGTATCTGAAATCGACTAATTTGGAAAAAGTATCTGCGACTGAAATGGAATGCACTACAGAAAATACGGAAAAACGGAAATATTTTAATATTTCATTTATGCTTTTATGTTTTTAATTTATGACCAAATATTTGACGATTATTTGATGTAAAATTGAATTGGAGCTTCTCTGCATACATTAGATCTTGTGTTCTCTTATGGGTGTTCAGATTGTTTACTTCATTTGCATAAGTCTTTTGATACCCAAACTGATAGTGCAACATTGTCAAAACTACTGCTTTGAGTTCTTTATTCTTATTCAGATCAGATAACAGAACTTTATTTATTAAAAAATTGCATCAAGTCATTTGTTGGAAATAAAAAAAAATTCTTGTTTCAAATTTACGTTAAATCTGCTTAAATTTTAAATCATATTTCAACGCCCATTATTTAATAAAAATTTGATTTTATTGAATGAATAAAATCGAAACTGAGAAAGAAACTATTTTAAAGTCGGTTTTGTTTTTTAAGATTTTAACTTTTATTTCGATTGTATTTTTTGTGTATATTCCTATACATATTTCGGCAAATTCGCGTTTGCCTTCAACAGGAGAATTTCTAGTATTAGAAACGTCTTTGTAGATGCCTGGAATATATTGAATCGTATCAATTAAAAAAAGGTTTAATCATTTCAAAAATGTCTTTTTTAAAAAAAACCACAAAATTGTTTGCTTTCAATTTATTGTTAGTAATATTGATGAATTATTTACAGAACTTCTCTTGCAAAAAGATCTATGGTAAGTAGACTTACAGAACAAGAATAAGTAAGCCATACAGATTTCCATTTCCAGACTGAACAGGGTTGTACAAAGTATGCCTCAATTCTTAGTATTTACATTAAAAATTCTATATCATTTTAATTTTAGTACTATATATCGGGTTATACATTTAGTATAATCTTGATTTGACAGCACTGTTTCAGTGACATACATCAAACAAAACTGTCAACCAAGACATCATATGTTAAATAGTTTAAAGATTGCCATTTTACAGTATGGATCGTTTAATATCTGTTGAAAGTGTTAAAATTGTGGAAACTTACTTTAAAAATTATGTTGTTTATTTACATCGAATGTTTTGAGAACGAAATTGTTGAGTCCTGCATTTGGGGCAGTGAAAATCCAGAAGTAATTAAAGAAAGATTTTTAAATCCATATGTATGGTATATGTATGATACACATTCATGTATAGTAAGGGACGTATTCAGGTGGTTAGGTTTTAGGAAAAAGTCAGACCCATCCCTTTGACAGTATACATTATACATAACACAAGTTTTTAGTGAATTGCGAAATTGTAAAAAAAAGGTATTTTCTAGTACAAGTATTTTTTAGGAATGATGTGAAATCTGATCAGGTAGACAGATACGTTTTTAAAATGACAAAGATGTGACAGATATGGCATGACTGCCACAGTTGCATATCTATCAGTTTTTGTTGACGTAAAATTGATATGTATTTGCAGTATATATAGTTCCAACAGGATAGTGCCAACCTCTATACTCTATAGTTAGTTTTGAATTTTTGCTCGATAAATTACAAGACTGCACGCTCGGTTTTGTTTCACATTTTCTTGATGAGTATTGACTATTAAGATCATACAATGGTGACAATTGGACTTTATTCAATGGTTAGGCAAAAGATCGTATTTGATCGAGATCTCAATCATAACAATGTTTTATTTACGTTTATTTTTGGAATCACAAGTTAAAGACCATATTTTAACACCCCGTCATTTCACTTTTTAATAAAACTGAATTTCACGTTCAGTATCTTTTAAACTCCGTGATTCTTTATACATACTCTAAGAAGGAAGTTATGTCCAAGGCACACAACTTCATTGGAACCAGCAAAAATTATTATCAATAGGGCGTTTATCGGCCCATTATCTTGATACATGTGTTTATAGAGCACCATGGGCTTAAGCCTTAATGGCAAGTACCCACGCTAAACAGCACTGTTACTGTCAGTTTCCCTTAGTGGGGAATTCCAACTTTAGAGTGTTTCCCTGTTTCGAAAATTATTTCAATCGAATGGAAAAACCTATTGTTAATCATGGAGAACAGTTCGAAAAACAATAAAACTATTTTTTCTGATTAACCACTGTGTATTCATTGTTAGACGTAAGAAAGGTAGCCCTCGTTTACTGTTAATAATGATTTATATTTAATATTTAAGTTAGAAGAGTGCGAGAGAGAGAAGAGAGAAGAGTGTTATGTGATTATAAATTTTAATAATTTATTGAAAGTGGAATATGTTTTCAATAGTAATTTTTTTTTCTTCTGATATCTCAAATAAATATTATTATGTGAAAATTTTAAATCATCATGTGTTGTGCTTTATAGTCATTATAAAGTCATTCATGCTTGCGATTGTAAAGAAATTGTTAATTAAAATATATTTTTTTGAAACTCGCTGACAAATCACAAAACATTTAAATTAAATTTTTATCATTTATTTACAGCAGCCGATATGTGAAAATGCATTAATTTCGCTTCTTCCGGTGTGAACGGATTGTGCGTTACGTGCGGTATCCTGACGCACAAACGTATTTTAATTAACCATTATCGCAGCTTGGCTGGCAAAAGAAATTTAAAAAAAAGACAAAAAAAAAAACAGCAACAACAAAAAGGCAAAAGCACAGAACAAAGAAATCACAGCTCCGTAAATAGCTTCTCGCACTACTACACTGGCTTCTGCCGCCAGTGCTGCCGCTTTGTTTTATGTCCTGTAAATGACATTTTTTGCGGATGCATTGACAGTTGAATGTTGACAATTATGAGAACACAATTAAGCACAAACACACACAGATAAGCATTTCGCTGTGCACACAATTATACGCATACATGCGTGAGTGCCTTTCACGCTGGGAAGTAACGCCGCTGTGTGTTGGTTGGCATCGTTGGTGTCGTTGAGTTGAAATTAACGTCATTTTAATTGAATTTTAATATTTCACACATGAGCTGCCATTTTCGCTGTTGGCTTGTTGTTGTTGTTTTGTTGTCAAACACTGGCAAAAGCTGGAATTTGTTTCTTTGAGCGAACAGAGTTTCACTGTTCGTTGTTGAAATAAATAATATAAAAATAAATAAGAAGTACAAATTAATCGAAATGTGACATGTAGTAACAGTGTAGGCGCCAAAAACCCTTTAGGATACAATCATTAATATGTTGAGATCAAATTAACACTTTCGTCTTAACGGTGGTTATGCAGGATTAATAATGGATACGCACAGGACGGATCAACAATACCAGTTTTGTGACTGGTAATTACACATTAATTTATATAATATTGATGGATTATATTCAGAAATTAACAGTGAATAAATTAAATCGGAATATCAATAATATTATTTAATCCTTTTATTCCTAGGTGGAACAGAGGGCCGTAACAAATAGTTTCCATTGAACTCTATCTAATGTAAGTCGTTTTGATCAATTCCAGCTCTTTCTTGCGTTTCTTAATTCGGTTTCAGTTTGTCTCTTCCAAGTATTCAATGGACGCCCTGGTCTTCCACTGAATTGAGGGTTGAAATCTAAGATTTTTCTTGCGATATCATCAGCGGGTTTTCAAGCCATCTGTATTTGCGCGTCACTACTTCATCAGTTATTAGAGGCTGATTCAATCAAAACCAGAGCTCACTATTGGTTATGGTTGTTGGCCAGAATAAGTGAAGGATGCGTCGCAAACAGCGATTGGCAAAGGCTTGCAGATGTTGTGCGTCACTTGCCGTTAAGTTACAACTTTCGCTACTATATAGTAAAGTTGATTTACATTTGCATTGTGCAGGAGTATTTTAGTGCATTGTGAGGTGTTGGATGAACGCCAGATTTTGCCAAAGGTTTAAGATCAGTAAGTTTGTTTTGAAGGTCAAATGAGATGCGGAATCTGCGCTCATTGCTTCCGGCATAAATACTTATAAGACTATATTAAATAATATAGATGAAAGGATGCAGCCGTGTCGAACGCTAGACCTAATTTGAATTTGTCCGCTGAGACGCTCTTCGTGAAGTACTGAGCAATGCGCGTCAGAGTACAAGCCTTCTACTGAATTTATTAATTTGCTCGGTATGACTTTACACTCTAATAAAAACCAGATGGCGGTGTGGACAAGTGTATCGAATGTACGTTTAAAGTCGATAAATAACAGATATATGTAGAGCAGATCGCCATTCGCTAGACTAATATCAATCATAAACTTTTGTTTTATTGGTTTTAATAATTGCAACTCAAATGCAAATCAAAAAATTAACAAATTTTGGAATTTTAATCGCGCAATTTGAACTTTCTGTCTTGGAACATAAGTCTGAATGTTTGCTTTTAACGACTATTTAAAGTTGATTTCTAAATGTACACAACAGTGCTGTATAAATTGAGATTCTCGAAACTCACAACTAAAAACTAAAAAGTATTCACAACAGCAAATCCATGCTAATCCTTTTAACATGCCACCAAAATTGGCTTTTATTAAATTTCGTTCGAAAATGCAGACAATAAAACTGTCAACGCACTGCAATGCACAATCTCATAGTCGCACTGCACTTCCTTGCTCCTCTTGCTCCTCTGCGTGCACAATCTGTCCAATATTGTTGCTGCAATTGTCATTTTCGCATTGCCAACTTAACATATTTTTTTGCTGCATGAATT